CTTGATACGCCGCTGCTCTACCACTTGAGCTATCGTGACCTCGATCCACTCGGACACTAACTTCCCATCTCAACCCCACTTTTTTTTTAATTTTTCCTCCTTTTTGCCATTTTTCAAATGTCGTGTAATCTGTTTGATTCCTGGCGACAAATGAAATGGCCACGGAGAGATTTAGTGAATATATACTTCATTTAACTTATTAAATTCACTAATTTTCGTGGTCCGATTGGCCACTTAATATCTTTCAATTATTAATAAAAAAATGGCGAAAAGGAGGGAAAATTCAAAAGGTGGGGTTGAGATGGGAAGTTAGTGTCCGAGTGGATTGAGGTTACGATAGCTCAAGTGGTAGAGCAGCGTCGTATCTAGCCGAAGATCGTGGGTTCGAATCCCGCTCGTGACACTGACTTTTTTATCTCAACTAAAAAAAACCTTAATTAATTGAAAAATAAAATATAATATTTGTATAATGCAATAAATAAATTTTGGTATGCTTAAACGTACAAGAATAGGTTCGAAAAGAAGGAGCGGCATTTTGTTGAGGGCTTTCCCTGCTTCTAAAAACAACTCGACTACCAGTTTGATCCTCTTGCGTAGGGCGACAATTATCAAGAAAAACACAATCTGAAAAAAAAAACATCCATTAGAAATTTGATGAATTTCTAGACAGACATTACTTACAGTAACGATGGTTACGATGATGGCTATCGTCAAGTATGTGGTCGATACCCTTGAGTCGATGTCACTTTCGCTCTGGTCGTGCTTCTTCTGTTTCCAGACGATCCTGAATGATAAATAAATCGATTCAAAAATGAAAAGTTATTATGATTAGAACCTTATACCATGAGTATATCGTCCCAAGTATTCCAATGACGACTGACCCGATCAATATTGCCCATATCATAAATCCGGCGAAGAATCTCAGTGTAAAGACAACAATTACGGACAGAACTGAAAATAAGATAGTACGAATTTGCTTTTTAACAGAAGCGTCATTAAAAAAAATTTTGAATATGCAAAAAGTTGGATTTATATAAGGACAAAACAATAAATTCCCTAAAATGTTAATTTATTGACATAAGTAGTTTTACATTATACAATGTAAAATTGTGCATATACAAAACACAACTGAAAACGAATCATATTGATGAGTCCTTTATTTACACTCGTCCCCTATTTAATATTATTAATTCTCTCATTCATAATGTTCATATTTCATATCATTGTCTGTCACTGCCTCCATGATTACGGATACGCGGCAACCATAATCGCACGTACGCTCAGGCGTAGTGACCATGACGATGGGACGTTGTTACATATATATGTAAACTAATGGAACGACTCTTATTTGCGGTCCTGGGTTTAACTCTTGGCATTGCTTATGGCGTTTTAATCAATTCATTACATGTAAAAAGGATTAGACACTAGCTCCTCACCCTGTACGATTTTACAAGAGACTTGACAGCACAGAAATCACACCGATTTAACACTTAAGGTAAAATGCCGCGTTTGACAAACCAACCTAGCTATTATCTCTTCTACAACCAACTGCATATTAGCAATGCTAAAGTAGTTGGATAATAAGTGCTGAATTTATTCATAGGTCAAACAGGAACTATATAAATATGCCCCGAATCGCAACGTTTATGGTTGCTAGTAGTAGATGACCTAATCAAAGAGGTTAACAACTTAAAACAACATACCTTAGGTTATGTATATGACCTGGTAGCATAAAGAGAATAATTGATGACGCTGTATGGATTCAGATATAAAACGATCTAAACATTGTAAAAAGTGTGAAAAAATGGCTTTACACAACAACATTAAGAAAACATCTCTCATATCCTTCACAAGAACGGGACTAAACCTAACATCACCTGCCATAAAAGATAAAAGCCTTAACTAAAGAAGAACCTAACCAAAAAAGTAACCAAAGAAGGGGTTTTAGACGGTTTTTTTAAATTTTCTAGATTATGACGTAGCCAAATAGAAGGAACGCCTGCCTTTTTCTCAGTTCATTACTGCTTTGTTGTTGTCCGTAGGTTATGTTAAAGAAGGATACTAGGATGCGGGGTTTGTACTCCCCGTGTAGGAACAAGCGTGGGATGCGCATTCTACGACCCAGTTAATATATATGAGTGCTTAATCAAGCTGACCCAAGAAAGTAGCATTTTTTCAGCTGAACTCTATGCCATCTCGAATGCGCTCAGCTACTTGAGCTCCAAAACATATGACAAATTCATGATTATAACGGATAGTCTAAGACGGTAGTAGCTGACAATCATCTGCTCTTCGAAATATTGGAGAAAATCAACTACATGAAAAACATGGGTAAGGTAGTGGTTGGTTATAGCTTGGGTCAGATCACATGCATACTTTTCGGGAAATGAAAAAGTAGATCTATTGGCAGACAAAGCTAGTATTCAGGGTGAAAGTGCATCTTTCGCACACCATTACAGTGAACATTTTAGAAAATTAAAGAATAAATACTATGCCATTTGGGAGAAAAGATATATCAGCTCGTGCAAAGGAAAATTTTATAAAACCGCTCACTCTAAATTCGGGGTCTGCTGGTTCAAAGGTAGATTAGTTACTAAAACTCTGTGCAAATCTATTTGTAGGCTGCGTTCGAACCACACGATTTGCAAAGATCTATTTAGAGTCAATTTATTTAGTTCGGATAGGTGCGATGTTTGCTTACTGACGGAATCGTGCGAGCATGTATTTATGACGTTTTTAAAATATCGCAAAGAAAGGAACAAGTTGTTTGATTCATTGGAAAATAACTAGAACTCCCGTTCAATTATAAAACTATCTTAGGGTGTGGTATGGTAGGAAAGGATACTAGGAAGCGGGGTTTGTACTCCCCAGGCACTGCAGCCTTCTGTCTTATTGTACCTTCTTAGTTCCTTAGTTCAGTACAATAGACTTAATCCTTCTTCTTAGAAGTATCAGGTCATTGACTGTCGCTGCTGCAATTTGATTCCCTAAGTTTTTTCCGTACGTTAGGTTAAACCTCTATTGAGTTGTTGCTTCGCATTCGAAGATGATATGAGTGGCTGTTTCTTCCTCCTCATTACATAATCTGCAAATGGTGAATACCCATGTTGTGTAGATGTTTCATCAGATGCCAGTGACCGGTTAGTAGTCCTACCACTCCTCTGAGTTTGGCCCACTCCACTTGCAGCAGTGCCAGTTTTGGTGAGGGTTGTTTCATCATAAGTTTACTATGTCTAGCACCGCTAGAGTTTATCTATTTCTTCTTTTGTTTTGTTTGGATCCATTCTGCGATGAAGGATTCTATATTTGTTTTTGTTATCCAAAGAATCGGTTCAGGGCCTATGTATGGTCTTGCAGATCCTCCTCTGGCCAGACTGTCTTCTTTGTCGTTACGCAAAATTCTCCTTGTACCCAAGATATCATCAGGTTGTTGTGCGTCCCCAGGTTTTGGAATTTTTGGATGCATTCACTGCCTAATTTTGATGTGAATCTTTTAAATGCTAATGCTTTAAAGGCTGCTTGGTTATTTGATCTTTTGAGGACTTTTTTGTCAGTGTAACCCCTTTTAAGATTTTCCAGCCTATGTATGGTCTTGCAGATCCTCCTCTGGCCAGTCTGTCTGCTTTCTCGTTACCCAAAATTCCCCTGTGCCCTGGCACCCAAGATATCATCAGGTTGTTGTGTTTCCCCAGGTTTTGTAGATTTTGAATACATTTACTGACTAATTTTGATGTGATTCTTTTACATGCTAATGCTTTAATGGCTGCTTGGCTATTGGATCTTATGAGGATTTTTTTGCCAGTGTAAGCTCTTTGTATCCGTAGGGTATTCAATGCATAATCAACCACAGCATGTTCAATCTGTTCATTTACACATAAGTATAGGTATAGGTCTTGATTAAAGTCTCAAATAGTTAAGGTAATATATTGCTTACAAGGCACAACTAAGCATTATGTAGAGATTTTGAAGCAAAAGCTAGGAAATAATCCTCGGGATGGTTTACTGGTTATAATCTTGATGGTAAAAGCCTCGGTCAAGTTTGGAGTACTAGTATGTTGGTCAAAAGTATGCATGACAGACACAACAAACTGCTTAGTCCACAAAGACTCGCATCTCTTAAAATAACTTGGGCAATGCATTCTTGTCATGTAGCTATGGAAATCGCACTTGATATTCCCTCTTACACACTCATGTACAGAAGGTGGATCTTGCAAGAACCAACTGATTCCTAAGGTACAAAGGTAAAATACGATATCAGAGAAAACGCAGATGTGAGGGAAGTTCAGCTTTGACAAATCTGTTCGAGTGGTTGTTGTTATCCATGATCTTCCCTTCCAAGCTGCAGAAGCTCTGTATATAAGCAGGGGCTCAACCTAATTATAGCAGACTCATCGACGAGGTCTCAAGATGTATCATTCCTGTGTGTCGTGGGCACTCTCAACACAACACACAGGAATGACACATCTACACAGAAATCAAACACTTTGACCCTGACGATGATCTCCATAAAGATCGAAACGTTGGCACGATAAAGAAAATGTTTTTTCTAAAACCTACGTTACACCATACCGCATCTCACGATCTCCAAATAATCGTTAAACTTAGATATGTACGTGAGTACCGCAAAAAGTCCTTAGCTTTGTAGTAATAAGCACGTTGCGGTATGGTCATAATCATAGGAGTTTCACAATAGATTTAAGTAAGTTTCGGTAGAGAAAATTTGGAATTCTTACGTAAAAATAGTGAAAATATATGATAAATAACATTTATGTTAATAATTAAAAATAAGACTTACTTAGAGAAATTAGACTCAAATAAAATATCTCAACCCATGAGTGGTGCAAATCTTCCGACACTTCCTAAAACAGTTTTCTATTAAAATTATTTTCCTCAAGATGATTATTGTTTCCTTACGTGAAAGAAATCCGTGATACCAGTTTTGGAAACAAAGTTGTTTATGATTTCTGCTGTCTTTTTAGGTATGCATCTATTAAGAAATGTCATGCTGTAAAAAATATATATAAGGATTAACATTACATTGGCTCTTTTACATTGTACCAATCTTACTATTCAGGATATGCTTTACAATCTTCAACGCATTCTTTATTTACATTTTTTGGGCTGAATAATGCTTTGCCTGCTTCTTTAATCAAAAGGAATCTAAAAAGAAACAGGAGAATTGTTGTTATTATTATTTTCTTTTGTATATATTAAACGAAATATTAAACGTTTACTTCTTTTTGGTGAAATCGCCTCCTTTGCATTGAAATTCTGGCTTCTCCTCTGGCAGATTCTCCATGCCGCATATGTTACCACAATTGTCATAGCCGTAAATTACTCTATAGATATCACCGTTGACGATGCAGTGGCCAAGTAGTCCAAATAGGACGGTTAAAAATATGATGAACATCAAGATTCCGACGACGTCTGTGACAGACCTTTCTGATACAGGGCCTTTGAACACTCCTTTGTCATTGTTCCTCGTTTCATCGGAGCCCTGGTTAATAATTAAATTAGTAAATGTACTTTTTTAAATAAATTTTATATGCTGATTTTACCTCATTCGGCTCGACTTTCTCCTGGTCACCACAACAACCCATGGTATCGGCTGAAAATGTAATAAAAAAAATATTATTGTGATAGACCTGTTTGATAATCTAACTTTTGATTAATTACTGCATTACTTCATGTGAACTATGAGAAATTAATTTTGTAAATTGATCGTTACTGATCATTCGGTATGTTTCGGAATTTCGCCATCTTCAGTGTGTGTATACAGACAGTACGTAAAGGATCAAATTGCAAGTTTATCACTCGCAGCCCAGAGGAGGAAATCTCATGAAATAATTCTGTCATAATTCCTTACCAAATATTATTTTCTTACCCCTCGAATATTTTTAGGAATGGTGAAAACTAAAGTTAGTAAACAAACGAATAAAAGTGCGTACATAAATATAGTAAAATTTAAAAATAAAGTTAACACCTAAGTATACCTGCTTCGCGTCATTTAACTGCCAAAGTTTCAACCGCTAAAATATGTTTAAATATAATCTGATCATGACTCTTTCTATAACATAAGAAACCTCTTGAAACTAAATATCAAGTTCACTATTTTTCGTGGACCGCTTGACCAATTAATATCATTCCATTAATTAAGGTTTTAAGTTGAGATAAAAAAGTCAGTGTCACGAGTGGGATTCGAACCCACGACCTTCGGCTTGATACGCCGCTACTCTACCACTTGAACTATCGTGACTTCGACCCACTCGTGCACTAACTTCCCATCTAAACCCCACCTTTTGAATTTTCCCTACTTTTTGCCACGAAAAATAGTGAATTTAATGAATGGCCATTTCATTTGTCGCCGAGAATCAAATAGATTACACGACATTTGAAAAATGGCAAAAAGGAGGAAAAATTGTAGAGGTGAGGTTGAGATGGGAAGTGTCCGAGTGGATTGAGATCACGATAGCTCAAGTGGTAGAGTAGCGGCGTATCAAGCCGAAGGTCGTGGGTTCGAATCCCGCTCGTTACACTGACTTTTTTATCTCGACTAAAAACTTTAATTAAATGACTAAATATCAAGTTCACATCTCCCCTGCGGACTGAAGGTGTTGGGGCAATCAGGGCTATAAAGCGTCTGACAATTTCTAGAAATATTCATTAGAAAACAGTTGGGTCAATCTTCGACCTGGCTGATTACTATCAAATCTCCAATGGAAGCAGTTGTATTTTGTATCGTCCACCTATATTTTAAGTACGTTTCTTCCCTACAAAAGACTTACAAGAATAGTGGCTCTAGAGTAAATTGAAAATTGAATTCAGATTTTACATATTTGCATCCAGAAGTAAATCGTATATACCTTCCTTTACTAGCAAGAATGGATTTTTATATTAAATTTTAAAATATAATTTTTTCAACTTCCTTTATTGATAAGCGGATAATGATTATTCAGACAGGTAGAGATTTTTAACTGAAAATAAAAATTAATACATAAAACAAATCATAATATTGATGAACAGAAATTATATTAAAGAAACATGAAATACGCGTGTCGATTCCAATTCAATCATTGCCAAATTCTTACATATTTAATACAATCCGTCAATTACAAGATATCGGGAAAAAATTCAGTTTACATGCTTCCTTCGGACAAGGTTTTCCAGTAATTGAATCAGCGGAAATTCGAAAAAAGAATAAATGATCAATGAACGTTATTAAGGGTTGTTAACCAACCCAAATTTAGTTAAGCTTTCTGTGTTGAATAAGCTTCTTGATTTTTATTTGTTTCTTTTCTTTTTCTATTGATCTTTAAGTACACAATTGGTTACAGTTATAAAGTGCCTTTGTACAATTATTTTCACATAAGGGATTACAAACAAACCTGAATGTTTGTACGTCTCCAAGACTGACAAAACTGACACCGTTTTACTGATGGATTATCAATTTATCCCAAAGACCTATCGTGCAAATATACTAACGATACCGGGTATTCAATACTTCGTTATTATACGGCAAAAAATCTTTGGTAGATGTAGCACTGGATGCACGTTAAAATGCACAAGGGTGAAAAATTACTGTCATTTAAAATTGACTCTGTCGCGGAGAGGGGCGGTTCTTCATTAACCCTCATACCATCGTACCTGTTACAAGGGGTGTACAATTAAAGGGAAATTGAAAATACTCAATAGTCAAAACTAAATAATTACAATTTGTTTACACAAAAAAAATTCTCAATTATATCCAAAATAATTAATAATCAACCTTACCGGTCAGGGTTTTTACAAAAAAAATTATAATAATAAAATAAAATTAAATGACGAAAATGAAAAGTTGGCACTTGTCTGGCCAAAAAAAAAAAATAAATAAAAATGAATAGAAATTATGAATGATGGAGTGGGTGAGTGTGGAGTTCAATCCTTTTTAAAAAATTCACTAATTTCGTGGTCCGCTTTACCAATTAATATAGTACAATTAATTAAGGTTTTTAGTTGAGATAAAAAAGATTAAAAAGATGGTTCCTACTCACAGTAAGTTGTTTCGCAACAGTTTGGTTCCCGATTACTCATCGTCAACAAGACAAGAGGATCTTTAACGTCCGCACCTGGCTCATGGCCTTATCGGACGTTTTGATTCTCAAGATGAGAGCTGACGCACTTCTGCATACGACGGAAGGTGTTACCGCCGCAGCATTGGTGTAGTGGTGTCCCGGCCCCTAAGGGTCAGTAGCCACGCTCTCCGCTTGTCCACTCCGAATGGTCGGGCCTGCATTGTGCGTCAGGTCGTACGCCGCACGCAAGGGGCTAACGGGCCGAAATACATCAGCCCGTCCCCCCCCTCGCGTACTCCCTAGATAGAGAAGGCGACTCTATCTCTCTGAGTGTAGAGGCTCCTCTAGCGTCGAAACTTTCGGGAACGCCCCGACAGCGGTTTCGGATTAAAAAGTGAGATTACTACCCACCCCCTAGATGAGTACCGCCTACGGACAAAGGTCTCTTGTCAAGCTCAGCCTACACCTGCTGCACGTAATCGAGGGACGCCATAGGCCTGGCCTAGGTGGTCCGATCCTTCGCTTCCCCGAGGGTACCACGCCGGTCATACGCACAACAATGCAAAGCATGCTCGTCGGAAACCGCCGATACCACTACCCTTTTCCAGTCGCTTACTCACGCACCCAGGGACTGTAGCATGATCATGACGTCCTCAACGCTTACATGCTGTCGTCCGGTCGCAACGTCTCCCGTGAGGAACGGGGGGTAATACGCTGGCCATGCGCAAGCTTCACGAAAGGTCCCAGGTAGAAGACAGCCTCTCTCTAAGTTCCCGCCAGGGGCGTCACCACAAGCCACCACGAATCCGTTCCCAATGTGACAGAGGGCTGGATTCTGGAACATTTCTGTCACCCCGTGGTACAGATGGCCATACAACCCTCCCCCGTCTTTGCAGACAGGATCTGGTGCACTGGCCCTCGTGTGACTCTGCTAAGGCACCCGCCGCCCTTGCCGACCCTGAGGCCGACATAAGACAGCTTGTGCTTCAGAGAGGTTGCCACGCCCTCTGGGCTGCACCATTATTTTGTGCCCGGATACCCCCCTTGTAACCAATGGTTAGGAGGGGTCACAGGATAGAATGAAGGAATTCGGATTGAGAAACATTAAAAAATTTAAAACTGAACATGGTGATAAATGCATTAATAATATAACAGATTTTGATCTACCTCCCATTTTAAATATGTACATAAATAATATTAAACGTCCAAATAATTAAATTAATTACTTTAATTGTTATTATTTTTATAATCATTTAATAATATTAAGGTATTATTCTAATTTTTTTATCTTTTACCTTTAATCAATAATTTATAATTAATTTCTTACGATATTTACTATTATAATAGTTATTTGTGTTATAATTCCCGCTTTTCGCACGTTCAAATTGAGCGCCATTAAAAAACCAGCTCCTCATTGGAACGTCGCGTTGGCGGGGGTATCAGCGGGTTCACTTTTGCAATTTATATCGAGAGACGTGTTTGTCGAAACCCTTCAACCTGATGATGAGCTAAAGGGCTCGAAATCCGGATCGTTGCAAAAAAACTTGCTGTGAGTAGGAACCATCTTTTTAAAAAGGGTTATAAATGAATATTCTTGGGCCTCAACAGCTCTCCTGTTATAAAAATCGTATAAAACGAGTAAAAACGTACTGTTCCAATTGTCAATATGGATTTTTTCAACTTTCAAAAATAAATCAGTCACAAAAATAACATGCAAAATACGAAATACACACAAGACCGGCTGAATATTGATTGTCGGAGTAAATATTGATATAGAAAGAAAAAACTGACCCACAATAAAACTATTGCTCAGGGAAAAAGTAATAATGCAGAGAATTGATAGTATAAAATTAACTTGTCACACACACGATATTACAAAATCAATCATTATGAAAAAGCATTAAGGTCAAAACCAAAATGCTCTGTACATTTTTCTAGTTTTTTAAAGATCATTATGTCGCACAATGCAGCACAGAAAAACAAAATGATTTTATGAGATGGTATAAAATATTCCTAAGAAAATCATCAGTTTCTGTCATTTAAAAATTGTATCTGCTGATCATGGAAAGTCAGGAAACGTTTTGAAATCTCTTCAAATTAAATGAACTGTTCTACTACAACATTTTGATTTACGTAGGATTATTAGGTATTTACATCACGTAATACCAAGAGAAAAATGCGTCAGTTCATAAAGAAAAATGTCTCAAATAGTTCACTCGAAATCATAAAATAGTGTGGTGATTAGTGACCGTTAATCGATAATTATTTAGAAATCGTGAAATGCGGTCTGGTGTGATGTAGGTTTCAGAAAAACATTTTCTTCATCGTGCCAACGTTTCAATCTTTATTGAGATCATCTTCAGAGCCTGGGATTTACAAACATTGTTTACATTTAACAAATACATTTAGGATGTGGAAAAGTGAATTTATACAATACAATTTTTTTATATATATATTCAATCCAAGTATTTCTACTCACTCAAAGTATTTTTTTTTCTGTGTAATTGTGCCATTCTTGAGTGTCGTGTTGAGAGTGCAAGTTAGATATTGCTGTTTT